GATAATATGAATCTTTCCTAAAATAAAAATTAAGAAGATGAAGCGGAATGTGATATTATAAAATCCAAAACTTTTTCTTGAGATTTCTTTCTTTTTAAATCAACTCTACTTAGGTATAATATATGCAAAATAAAACGCCATACATTTTTAAGTAAACAGGTATAGTCCAGAGAGTTTTGACCATGTATACACCCGTGTAAACATCACTCTTTCCAGTCAGTACTTTCTCAATCATACTGTGTAAATCAATAATGTTGTTTAAATTCATTTATAGTGTTCTATGTAGTTTGTTTCTTTTCATTGCTGAGTAGTATTCCATTGTATCGATATATCACAATTTGTTTATCTACTCAACTACTGAGAGACATTTGAGTTGTTTCTAATTTGGAGTTATTACGAATAAAGCTGCTATGAATATTTGTGTAAAAGTCTTTTTGTGGACATATATTTTCATTTATCTTGGGTAAATGCCAAAGATTAGAATTGCTGAGTTACATGTTAAGTGTGTGCTTAACTTCGTAAAGAACCACAGAATTGTATTCCAAAGTGGTTGTGCCATTTTATACTCCCATTCAATGCATAAAAATTTATTTGCTATACATTCTAGCCAACACTTAGTATTTTATCTTTTTAACTTCAGTTATTGTGATAGTCAGGGTTCGCCAGAGAAACAGAACCAAAAGGATATATGGAGATATATATATGGAAAGAGAGAGACAGAGGCAGATTTATTATAAGGAATTGTCTCACATGATTATGAAGGCTGAGAAATCCAAGACCTGTAGTGAGCAAGCTGGAGACCCAGGAGAGATAATGGTATAAGCTCCAGTCCAGAAGCCAGCAGACTGGAGATCCAAGAAGAGCAGATGTTTCAACTAAAGTCCAAAGTCCAAAAAGGACCAATGTCCCATATCAAACAGTCAGGCAGAAGGAGTTCCCTCTTACTTAGACTTTTTGGTCTATTCAGGTCTTCAATTGATTGGATGAGGCCCACCCACATGAGGAAGGGCAATCTGCTTTACTTAGTCAATGGATTCAACATTAAGCTCATGCAGAAATACCCTCACAGACACACCCAGAATGATGTTTGGCTGAATATCTGGGCACCCTGTGGCCCAGTCAAGCTGACACATAAAATTAATTAACACAGCTATTCTGCGAGCAATCTCATATCACATAACACATTCTACACACTGAAAAGGAATTCCTTACTTGTGACAAGACAGTAAGATAAACCAAAGAAGAAAGGAGGGAGAAGAGAGAAAGCATGAGCAAGGAAGCACATAAGCAAGGAGAGGGTTTATCAGCTCGATGTGTGCCTGAGCAGAGTTATATAAAGTGCCATTAAAGGGGCTACAGAAGATGTTTCCTTACTGTGCAAGTGCACTCCTTGTGAACAGAAAATTCCGAAATGCCCTTTGGAGACCTGCCGTGTGGCTTAGGGTTCTAAAATCACCAAGTCCACTCCCTCAATTATGTGCTCAACATTCACCTTCTTCATCCCAAGCAAGGGAATGTCCTTCACATAACGAGGTCCATTCTTGGCAGCTAAGAGGTAAGTGGGAAAACGCCTCTGAAAACTTAGACTCACAAAATCCTGAAAAGTTGGTTTGCTTAAATCTCCTCGTTTGGGCTGAAATTTAGACGAAATGCCCCCACTTCTCACCTTCTCCCCCCACCAACCCTGACCCCATTTCACCAATGTTTACAAGCAAGGGATCAAGTCTGATGGGTTTTGGAGGGATGACCTCTGACCATTGTTCACTTGACCATCAGCCATGAAAATGTCCTCTGAACCAACTCTGGGTTCTTGTAGGAGTAAGGACCTCTCAAAGACTATTTCTTTGGTTTATTGGGCACTAATGTTGTAACCTGACACTTTTTTTCCCCATTTTCCTTTGATTGGTCCAAAGTCTTCCTATGTATTTCCTTCAGGGTGGGCGGGTAAAGGTGAGGGGATAGTCCTATTGTAAAGAAGGTGTGAGTAATACTCTAGGCTCCAGTTTCCCATGCTGGGATCGTATTTGCCATTCCTCAGGCATGAGTTCAAATTCAGGTCTTCCAATCTGGACATTTTACGTTTTTAGTATTAAATGAAAATTGGCAAGTTTCAAATGTCTGCCATGATTTTCTTCATATTTGAAAGCATTTACAACTTTTAGGTGTATGTACTGAAACATGTCAAAAGAGTTTCATTCTTTTAGGCACTTAGGATTATAAATCTGAGTATTTAATTTTGTGAATGGGGTTTTCCATACACTGAGATTTTGCTATAAATGAGCACTTACATTCCAAGAATTGTTTACGGCGCTTGATGATTTTTAACTCACTTAATCCTCATAACAACCATAGGAATTGGTTACCATTATTATCCTTATTTTACACGTGTCTATGGCACAGAGAGGGATGACGTATTTACCCAAGCTTGCACAGCTACCAAGTGAAAGCTGAGAATCACACAGACTGGCTGGCTCCAGTATCCATGTTCTTAACCACTGTGCTATGCTTCCTCTCCATAGAGTCTCTCTTCTTGAAGTAGTTTAGTTCCTGAAGTTAAAAATAAGGCTAGTATAAAATATTGTACCCAGTTGGTTAATATATCATAGGACTTGGAAGACCATTATATTGAGACCTTCATATATTTCTTATTATACCATTATAGGACAATCTTTTCTGTTTTCTCAAAGTAAAATAGATACACTACCATTTAGATGCTATAATTTTTTAGGTATATTAATCAAAGATCTTTTTTCAAAGTCCAGAAATTGCATCAAGCAAACAACAATTTTAAGATTTGTTGCCATAAATGACCTAATTTCATCAATTCTCAGATTTTTTGTCAAAATTTGTCACAAAATTTTATATCCTCAAAACAATCAATTCTTACATGATTAGGCAGGAAACCGCCTTACACTTAAGTAATAAGTGTCATCAATTTTGTGTCCTCTTCTTCTGATTTTGGCGAAGAGCAAACATCTGGTTACCATTCTCCATATAATAACATCATATACCTGAAGTTGATAATTAAGCTTCCCCAGAAGACTTAATAACTATGGTTCTTAAAACTCCCCTGATAAACTCTCAAACCTTTAATCAGTTACTTTCTTATGGATTCTTGCCAAATTCTCATTTTTTTCATGTCTCTTAAAATTGGTGAGATCCGAATTGGACACATCGCATAATTAATTGTTAAAATATCTCTATCATCATATCACTCCATCTTGTGAGCACTGGTCTGGAAGTCAGGAGATTTAGTATCTACTCTCCCTTCCAGCTGATTAGTTTTAGTATAGTTTTGAGTTGGATAAGTCATCTAACTTATCTGCATCCTACTTTGCTTAGATAGAGATAGTAGGACGTGAACTGGAAGATTGTTATTGTCTCACGAGGGTATAATTTTATGACTTCCTCCAGTGAAACAATAATTTTTAATGCATATCTTTGTATAGCTAACTTTTTTTGCATTCTCTTTTGCAGATTTTTTTTCTTCACAAAGCAAACTATCCTTCATTTATCCCCAGAAGCTTCATTATACTTATTTTTTCAGCTTGTCAAAGTCATTCAGAACTCTAATTTTCTACAAGGTAAGGAATTCACTTAAAGTATCAGTCCTTCAATACCAACATCCAGTATCTAGGGAAAATAACCCAGAATGTGCTTGTGTATGTTGAATCAGTTTCAGGAATTTATATAAGATAAACTGGTCTTATAAAAGAAAAGTTTAACAGGATAAACACTAGGTCAAAAGGTGAGATTAACCAATCTTTACTGTTCCTCTTCCATTTCTTTCTCTTCCAATAATATTTATTTAACACCCTCATTTACTGTGCTAGGTGCTATGCCAAGAAAGCATAACAGATGTATTTCTTGTCCTTGAAGGACTCAGATCCTAAAGTAGGTATCATTGAAGTGAGAAAAAGGGTAAGAAATAGACTTAAAATATGCAAAGAATAAGTGACTCTTTCAAAATATATGTACTTTCACCATATGTGCTGGTTGGAATCTGGTAGTAAAAGGTTCTTCATTATCAAGTCTGATCTCATGACTTGGGCAACAGCTGCTACCTTGCTCGTCTCCATATGACTTTTAGGAAGGATCCGGTCCAGAAACAGATATTGTCTTTATTCTTTTACCACTACTGTTTTTTCACTCCTATCTCCTCCTTCGTCCTTCCCTTCCCCTCCCCCAGTCCCTCCCACTCTCCCCACACACTTGCTACCCTCCTTTGCATATGGAGAATCCACTTTAGGTGCTTCATGTAGAGTCAACCCCACACTCTCCTTGGAACCTGGATTCCCAAAATTAGTCTCAACTTTTTTCTTAAAATTACTTAAATTCTTTCTTCTTGAGAAAGAATTTAAAGAGTTCCTGAGAAATAATCATGATAAATCAAGTGAGGCTTCTTTCCACAAAGAGGCTTAGAATTTCTGATATAGGCTATAAATAATTTTCACTGGGGTGAGGTGTAGATATTCCTAACTTGTGGTCAGAGTTGGAGAAGGTCGTCAGAAAGGAAGAGCTGGAAAATTTCGGGTAAAACTGAAATGGGGAGACATAAGTCTTAGAAATATTCCAGCAATGTTTGAGAACATGCAGATGTTCTAAGGAGTAAATGTAGCAGAGGAAAGGAACAGTAGAATAAGCAGTCGGGATATTCTTATAATCTAATTTGTAACTATAGACAAGGAATTGGACAGTAAGGAAGAGGGACACCAACAGAAGAATTTTAATGAGAGTAGTTTGGTGGTTAAAGTGACGGGTCACTAACTCACTCTTGACAGAACATATAAACACCCACAGCCTTCATTCTTTTGTAAAACATGACTAATGGTGCTCCCCTACTGAGGGAATGTCAAAAATAACAATAAAAATCACCGAAAAGTTACCAGTAAAAAAATCCCTTAAGTAATAACAACTTTTCCCTCCTGAACTTTTTGAAAGCTCTGTTCAACTTTTCTATAGATTTATTTTAACATGCCATTTTTAATTCTATACAGCTATCCTGTTGGGAAATCTAGGAAAATTTTTCCCTTTGTCAACTGAAACATACCATTCACGTCTGTAAAGTTCTAATAGTGATTATCATAATATAAAATAAGATTTGTGTGTTTTCTCTTTTTCGAGAAAAGTTATGTACTAGAGCAAGACTGGTACGGAGAATGACAGTAAATAAAAACATGACAATGGGGAGATGCTGAATCAGGTGAGCCGCAATATTTAATATAAACCAAATCATTTAAAGTTTATTTTACAGAAATAGATGCATTTAAATTACTATTAAGGTGCTCTTACACATTACTATTTGGAGGGTACGCTCTAAATTCAGTGCTCATTTAGTTACAGCTCGGTTGGTGAGCGTGTTAATGAACAAAGTAGAGTTTGAACCACTTATTTAAGACATGCAAATACTTTCAGGCAAGGACAAAGGGTCTCCCCTTCTGCAGGGGCTCATCTGTAGAAAAATACTGATTTCATGTTGATTCTGGTGACAGTGTTAGAGTCAATAAAAGTTTAAAGTTAAATGTTTGATGGGATTTGTATATTCAGTGGAAATAAAATTCAGTGCAGTTGTGTTCACAGCCGTTGTATTTTTTGCTCGGAATTTAAAAAATGCTTCTAGAAGAGGTGAATGTTTTATTGATTAGTCAACCCAACAATTTTTTACCACCTATAAATAATTGCTAGGTGTTTCAGCAAATTCTAGTTGTAAAAGTGACTGGAGTCAACATTCTTTGGTAAATTACTTTAATTCCTTACTGAACATTTTTCATATTTCAATTAACTTTTTTTCCTCCACTAAGTACTAAACAATAAAGTAGCTGTGCTGCTGGAGATTGCTTTGTCATGCCCGAACCTTACTATTTCACAAAGAACAATCATTTTTGGATACATAAGCCGTAAAATAATTTCATTTACCTTTTAATTGATGCTTAAGCCTCTTTAAGATCATCATTAACAAACCTCTTTTAATGACCAGCCAGCAAATGTCTTCGTATAATTAGCACTTTCCTGACATCAAGCAGAACACCTTTGTCCTAGAGAAGTAGAGGGTGGAAGAGTTTTTGAGGAGGCCCACCAGAAGACAATTCTAGGCCAGATATTCCCAATGGTCACAGACGACGACTATCTAGAGCCATTTAATAAAGCTTCCTGGAGAGGAGAAGGGCATGCTCTTTCATACCTAATGGTGGAGATGGATTTCAAACATTCTTCTCTCCTGTGTGTAAATGTGGAACATCTGTGGGAACAAATGCCTGTGAAGTCTGTGCAAACAAAAGTAGACAGATTGCCGGCGCAAAATCTCTTTCCCAGGTTTAGTTAGGGATGAGAAATAAGACCAGATCCTTTTCAGGGCACTGTAAGTTGGTATTTCCAGTTGCTACAGGGGAAAATCAGGTTCGCCCATTGTTGCAAGACAATGATCTTAATTGACTACTTTCTAAATATCTCCAAGCAGAAGATTCACCTATGTAGACAGAGGCAGGTTGATGCAGTGCTTTTAGCAAAGAGACAGATTATGTTCCTGTCTGCTCAGTTCAGAGTCTCCATGATGATAACAGATCGGAAAGTAATTTGAAAAGGACGTATTAATTAGAATACTATAGTAATAATTAGAATATTTCAGTTATATTTGGCTCATAACAATCTTTTTTCGTTATTACAATCTTAGACTAATTCTCTAATCATACCAAGTTAGACTAAATGATCGAAAACAGTGGAGAAAAGTAGAAACTATAGCATTTAAAATATTTTTTTCCTCCTCTCAGGTGTTTATAATACTTGTCAATGGACCAATGAACACCTCACACTTTGAGGTTAGAAATTTTATACATTATGTAATAAGTCCACATAAGAATCAAAAATCAGCAAATAGTCTTTTAGTCTTTCTGGTTGAAGACAGAACATATTTTTAAATTACTCTTCAATTGCCAGTTTTGTCTGTCTCATAAGTAATTCCACCCTGATTCTGTTCATCATATTGTGTAAGACAAATTTCCCAGTTTGGGGAATTTAGAAGGTAATTACTGGGGGCTTCTATTATCCCTGTCAGAGAAGTTATTTTAAAAAACACTTTAGGAGAAACATGCCATATATTAAAAATTGTGAACTTTATTTGGTATGTTCTATTTGGAAAATGTCATGCTAATTATATATTTTTAAATTTTTGTGTCTCAAGGAAAGAGGCTACACTGCCTTTCAACTTAATTTAAATATTACTTATTGATAAGCAGCGGTATTTTAATATATTGAAGAAAACCCTTGTGGTTGCTGGCAAGAAACTAGAACTGATTTATAAAGAATAGGGCAAAATTTTTTGAGATTGGATGCCAATATTTTAAGCTGTGATAAAAGAATGACATGGCCCTATTGATATATTAAAGTAGTAAGGTGACACGATACAAAGTGAAAAGCCTGAGATTGTTTTGAAAGTTTTACTGGGTCTGTTAGACTGGAAAGCTGCTGCTAATAGATTATATGAATTATTCTAGAACTTCCCAACAAATGAAATTAGTATTGTCTCACCTTAAACTGTCCTGTTAATTCCTCATCAAAAAAGTAATTTTCCAGGCTGCCCTGTGGCATAGTGTTTAAGTCCAGCACTCTCCTCTTTGGGGGCCAGGTTCGCAGGTTTGGACCCCAGCGCCAACTGACACCACTCGTTAGCCATGCTGTGGTGGTGACCCTCATACAAAATAGAGGAAAATTGGCACAGATGTTAGCTCAGGGCCAACCTTCCTCAAGCAAAAAAAGAGGAAGATTGCCAACTGATGTTAGCTCAGGGTGAATCTTCCTCAGCAAAAAGAAAAAAGTAATTTTCCATATAACAAATGGAAAATTCAAAATGGTATTCACTACATGAGTCAAAATGCATTGAATGCTTTTGCTGAATAGAGAAAGGATTGTAAAAACCTGGGTGATTTCTGCATGTTTTTATTTCCCTTAAATTTATAGCATTTTTCTTCATCTCTGCACTCTGTAATTTGAGAATGTGGGGGAAATTGTTGCTATAAAGTTTAATACATTTCATTGCGGTTTACGGGTGCAGAGTCTAACTCATCTAAAGTGTGTTATGTAGGGCTGATAAGCTCCCTTGCAAACGTTTTTTGGAACACATGTCACATACTCTGCATGCGATTAGGAGTAACATATGGATGGATATAGGGAAAACTGAGGTGGATCCTTGACTATGCTTACAGAATTTCAGAACTGAAATCGAAACGCATTTTCATGATCACCATTTATTATTGCTTCATGTCAGTCTCTAACTCAATTACATTTTTATAAATAACAATTATATAGATAAAAACTTTAAAAATAAAATTAGGTGCCATGCAGGAAATGAAACAAAGGTAAGCTATGAATTCTGACCTTGAGAAGCTAATGGTTTTTTATAGGACATAAGATATGTAAATAACCATAAAACAGAGAGATGATAGGGAATACGAAAGGAATCTCTGGAATCATTTAGTGAAGAGGAAAATGATTTCAGAGCAGGCCTAGTGAGGAATATGGCAGATGAGTTCTGGGAATGAGTTTGGTGTAAACAATCAGAAGATGAGAAGAGGAGGGAAGGTCATAGTGTATAAAATTACTACTGATGAGGGAGTGATCCTAACGTACAATTACTGGGAGCGGGGAGCTGCAGCTCCTGCTAGCCCAGGACACCTGGAGGCTGCGATTCTGCTCTCAGCGCATGTCTCAGGCCGGTTCATTTTCAGCTCTTCCACATTTGCCTTTTCATATTTCAATAGCCAACTTCACGAATGCTGTGAATATTGAAGGCGGCTAAGGGACTTCTTGCAATTTATTTGCTCCTTTTGCTATTCCATTTTTAATGAACAGAATAACACATAGGGGAGGTTCATTTTCTAACAGTGTTCATTTCACACTTAGAACCAAATTCGCAGGCAGCATCTGAGAACGAGTCCTGGATTTCGAGCGTTGGAGGGCTGTGCAGACAATGACAGAGGAAGTGGCTGTTCGGATGAGGCACGGCGGAGCCAAGCAGACACTGGGAGAACTTCAGGTCGTTAGGGATTCCCAGGTCATTTGCTGCCCAAAGAGTAACGTCGACCCCAGCTCCTGGGTAGATGTCAACAAGGACAAATGCCTGTAGAAAAATTAACTTGGATAAACTGAAAACTGCTCTTTGCCCATATATTAAACAATCTGGAACCTTTCGTTTTTCCATACGATTTTTTGTTTCTGGCAGCCTGATCACAGCTCATGGCTGTGCTTTTTATGTCATTCACTTGCCTGAATATTGGGCAAGGAGAAAAAGTTTAGACATTGAGTTAAACTTGAGGCAGGCTCCTTCAAATGTGTGGGTGATGAGGTGAAATGCATTCCTGAGCCTTTTAAGGCGGTCATTAGTGAGCGCATCGTGGCCACCACAGGTGATGTTTATCTCATTAATTTTAATAGGGAAAATCATCTTTACTTCCTTTTCCTAAAGCCCACGCTTCATTCCCTGGTTTAATTACGTTATTAGTGCAGCTCACCAAAAAAGCAGCTCCTCTCTTCTTGATCTCCTAATAAGCGTCTGACAAGAGTTCATCCAAAACTTCCCCACTGTTTGCAAGTATTGCCTGAAGCATCACTCCACATTCGCTCATTCTCAACAAATGAGCTCGCACCTGCTTTACGGAGGAGCCAAAGTCACTTAGCATAAACTCCCTCATCTGTTCTCTTCTTGGGCTTGATTTCGACACCTATCACGTCTCTTTCCCTAATTTAGTCTCAGAAAAAGAGGTGTTTCCTTTCAAGGCTTAGCACTGTCTGGGCTCCTGGCTTCTCTTAAGTGTGGCCTGAAGAGCAGAAACATCAGCATCACCTGGGAGCTTGTTCAAAATGCAGACTCTCCAGGCCCATGCTGGACCTAAGAATCGAAATCTGGATATTAGCAGGCTTCCCCTGGTGATCTGTACACATGCTCACATTTCATTTTAGATCCTAGTCAGTCCTACATCCCCGAGGACTATTTTCCTTTAATTATTTATTTCCATTATACATATCATTGTAACAGGTCTTCCTGTCTCTTGGCTTTTTAATTGCTCATAGCTTCTTTTTTCTATCTCATCAAATCCTTCTCTTCTCACTTAAAATGCACTTTCCAAGATTCTTAGCACGTTCTTACTGCATTGTCCTGGTTCTTACATCATTGTCTCAGCATCCTTTCATAACGACACCTGACATTTTACTTCTACATGTACCTTTGAAAGTGAGCAAGGATCTCCAGTTCCCTAATCCAACTATCTAGACTCAGTCTTCATGCCTTTACACTTTGGAGAATTTGGCACAGCTCAGCACTTTCTTGAAACTCTCCTCCAGTTCCCTTGACACTAGGCTTTGTTTGCACAAGGCTCTGGTGCATGGTGTTGACTTTTTTTAGTTTCCTGTTCTCAACTGGGTTGAAGGACTGGCATGGGAGAATGCTTAGCTATAGACGTGAGATAACTTAATCATAAGAAAGTCCCCTTAGTTTAGAATTGGGGTGCCATTATTGCAGCATTCAAGGGCAAATCAAAGTGAAATCCAGAACTTGAAAATTTATTTATTCAAAGCAAAGGGAAGAAGAAGACTTAGGGAGAAGCCCTGGGCTCTGAAAATGCTACCGTTCCTCACCAGGTTTTTTCAGATGCCATCTTCTAAGGGAGGCAATAGATGAGCTGAACAGCTTTTAGACCTTTTTCTCATTATTTGGGGATTTGGGGATCATAATTATTCCTTTGAAGGGAAGTCTCTCTTGGCTGAGTTCTCCTTCCACCTCCCAAGTTGGTGGAAATAACTTTAGGAATCAGAAAAAATTTTGTCAATATAGGAAGTTAGAAAAAAAATGACCCAGAATTCTACTCTCTCAGAGATACCCACAGCTAACACTTTGGGGTTCATCTTTCTAAATTTTCATTCATAAATAGAGAGAGAGAGAAAGAGATAGGTGTGTATGTGTATGCATATATATATATATATATATTTAAGCTTAAACTTTTTTTTTACTGTTTCATCTACAAAGAATGAAAGCTACTTTTTTCAGTTACTTATATAGTACAGCTCAAGTTTCTATGGGAAAGCATATATATCTACCTCATTTTTAATTGATCTATATTATTCTGGTGAATTGCTATGGCATGATTTATTTGAATAATTTTTTATCATTCTTTTCAATGTTTTGAACCTTTAAACAATGTTTAAATGAGCATTAATGTGTAGATACCTTTATCCATTTATCACATTGTTTTATTATGATAAGTTCCCAACAGCGGACTTTTTATGTCAAGGGCTATGTAAATTTTAATTGTGGATGTACAATGCCGAACTGACCACTAATTTATAGGCCATTCCTAGCATATATGAGTGTTATTTCTCCTGATATTTCCTAATATTTGCAGGGCTAGGATTAAGATCAGATAAGTGCAGGACTAGATCTTGCTTTTAACTATAATTTTGACATTTTGTTTACCATAGATTTTTGGATTAATTTTCATCAAAATACTATTATGCTGATTATTGAGTTTTCTGTGCCCGAGTTGAGTAACTTGTCTCACTATAAACCCAGCCCTGAATACTGGGTCAGATATTAGGTGAAAAAATGCCAATATGATTGCTATAAAATGATAGTTAATTGTCACTTTTGTTTACATTTTTAAAACTTCTAACGACGGTAAGCAATTTTTCACATTTAATGATAATTTTATTTTTTCCTCTGGATTGCTTGTGTTCTTTGCCAACTTTTTTAGGAAATACTGTCATTTGCATTTTGATTTGTAAAAACTTTTCCTCTGTTTATCATACACATTGTAATAACTTCCCCAGGTTTTTTTATTTTCCAAGACTTTTTTGGCATGATTTTTCTCCACATTGAAATTTGAAACTATTTTGTAGTTATGACGTGAATTCAAAGACTTTAACATGAGAGGCTAACCTTTTGGTTTTCCTCCCTTTCTTCAAATATTTTTCCTAAAAAAACGTTAACTGTTTCTGCCATATTCATAATTTGAGTATTTAGAAATTCACCATCGAAGTCCAGTTTAGCAAACAAAGAGGGGGGTCAGGCGGGAGAGGAGAAGACCAGCGGAGACACACGTGTTAGAGTGGGTTTTCTCCACCCCTATAAAGAGCTTTTCCAAGGAGACGGGACTTCTGATTTCAGAGCCAGCAGGCGTGGGGGGGGGGGGGGGGGGGGGGGGGGC